AAGTACTGGCTTTACAGCTTACAATGAAGGGAAACGGATTCCGGCGGATGCTGTGAAAAATAGGACGCAACTTTAAAAGCATGCACCGTGAACACAGAGGGAGCCGTGACGCTTTTCCGCGCTTGCAAGCTAACCCTGAGCTAACGATTCTCTTTATGCTGAAAGTTGGAACCCCATAGCGTGTACCACACTGTTTGGGGAATGGTGGTGACCAATGCAAAAAAAAACAGGTCCTCCGAAAAACACAAGATGTATCAGGAAGGGACCAGTACTCGAACGACTCTCGGACGGACCGGTTGAGCTCCTCCCGCCAGTTCACAGCCTGCGCAGGGTAGTTTTCCGGAAGCGCGCCGCCAGCATCCGCCAGCGCTCTTGTCTTGCCATGTCTTGCCTCTGCCGGCTCTGGGGGCGACTCTTCGAACTGCAGGCCACTCGGTACCGCCCAGGTCACCTCGTGAAGAGCTCCATCCGGCAAACACGTTGCTAGCTCCTACTTGTAGCCACCTGCAGGCGCTGGGTCTCCATGCGGCGGGTGGATACCAAAGTCCGAACCTTGGCCGCACGCTGCCCCTTTTTCGAAGTGCGCGAGTGAGCAGCAACTCATCTCAACTTGCTTGAATCTCAACAAGCATCTCTGCTTGCCCGCCCACTTGCTGCATCAGACGGAAAGCCACACTACAGCCAACTGTCTGCTCTGGGGGCTCTGCAGCAGACGCAGGTTCAGCGAAACAAACCAGCCAGGAAGAAGGTCCTTTTCTGTTGCCCGAGCGAGAGCGAGGGAGGGAAAGGGAAGGGGAGAGGAGGGTTTAGGGAGAGGGACGGACAGATGAGACAAAGGTGAGAAGAAAGGCAAAAGGGATCCACAAAGTAACAGCGAGGCAAGCGAGCAGCTAGAAGGCAATTGACAAAACGGAACAAGAGCAAAGCCCCGCCGTCCTCGCGACTGCTTCAGTTGGTGAACGCTCTTCACGATGCAGCCCTGCTTTGACATTGCCGCCTCACTGTTCGAAACAACGTACTTATGACACTTATGGGAGGCGGGGGGTAGGTCTACAGCCCCCTGAATTTGCGACACTGTGAGTCTTGGAGTAGTTTGGAACTGGCAGCATTCAACTGGTTTGCCATGGGTACCTTTCGCATTGCCCAACTGGAGAGGTCAAGCCTAAATGTGGTGCTGACCTTCGGGCTGACAGCCCCTTTATGTCGAAGGTTTAATAGGGCTTGAGGGCCTTCAGCGACCACGCAACTGGAAAAACGAGCCCGAATCCAGCAGAGGAGCCGAGAGTTGTGCTGCGGTGGCCTTCCGCGGCACAAGTGATACCACCACGGACAAGCCGTCCCAATTCGAGGAAGGGGGCCCAGGGCCGCGGTAGGGCAGCTGCTTTGGACCCCAGCCGAGGCCAAGCATGTCCAGGAGGATTTCGGCTTCCTCCTCAAAAATTCAAGAAGGCCTTACGGCAACACATTGCAAGCCTACAAGACTTGCCTGTGCGACCGTCTCCAGCAAGCCACCTGAATCAAAGCTTTCTTTCCATGCCGGTCTGTCCTACGAGCGGGCGCAGGGTATTCTTTGATTCTAGACGCATGGAGCTGTATGGGTGCTGTCAGGAATTACAACAAATCTGTATGCCGGCAAGGACCAACATCGCAGGTCAGGGCCGAGGTGGGGCGGAAAGACTAAGGCGAGATTTCTTTTGGGAGGTGGAACCCAACATACCAGGGCAACTCCATCCAACAAGGGTTCCTGCCCCGTTTGTGATCCAAAAAGCGTTTCGTCTTGTTGAGTCAGTGGCAAGCCACGCCATCGGGGCAAGTCCAGGGTGAGGTCTGCTGTGGTCAAATACCTGTAGCGACTGGGCAGCGCAACGTCCTACAAGCACATCTTGCAACCAATCATGACCAGTCGCCCATTCACTGCAGGCTTAAGCTGGTAGTAGGCTGCTAGGAGCTTGTCCAGGCCGCCATCGTAGATGTCGACAGCTGCTATGTGGGGCCTAAGTTGCGCTGTCAACATGGGTGAGCCCATCGGAGGTATTCATGGAGAGTACCTTCAACATCCTTCAACTCCTCTGCCTTGCTGACGCCTCGCGTGTGGTTTGTGCCAAGCTGTGACGAGGCGCAGGAAGTCATTCCCAACCAGGCAGCACATCGCCACAAAGTCGGCAAGCAGTCGATTCCTGAGGAAACACCATTGAGATTGTCAGCGAGCAGGCCTTGCCATGCAAGGGCAAGGCATACCGTCAGCCTCAAAGCGATTGGTAGGCCTAATTCAAGTGGCTGGCGGCTACCCCTTCATCTAAGCGACGGTGCACAGTCCGGGAACTGACTGCACAGCCACGCGCGCAGGGCCACGATGCTCAGCATCTCATAGTCCTCTTATCTTGTCGCCACTTCAGTCGAGAAAAACAGCGGCTTGTACCGAAAACGCGAACAGCAAGGTGCCCTTTGAAATCTGAACTCCAAGTATTATCCCATGGTCCCGCCTCAGCCATGGGCCCTGCCGAGGCTGCAGGCTCAGGCACCGGCAAGGCGTCCGAGTCTGGGGCCTCTTGAACGTCCGCGGCCTCCTGTCAGAAGCAAACCAAGGCCATAGTCCGGAAATGTCCGGAATTCAGCTGCACCTGAGATGGCCCAGCGTCGGTGCGCACCCTTTTCTCGTAGTTGGGCTTCGTTCTCAGCAGGTACACGTGCTCGGATTCACACACCAGCCCGAGGAACACCAGGTCCTGGAGTCCAGCTTCCACCAAACACTTTCCAGCAGATGCATGCAGCCAGTTGAATTGCTCTGGACTACTCTTGGGGCGCATCAAATCCCAAAAAGCAGCAAGGCGTCGGCATCATTGCTGCAAAGGCAGTGGGTGTGCTCCGGATGGTTCCGAATCACCTCCATAATTTTGTGCTCGCCTTCGCCTGCAGCCAATGAGCTCTCTGAGCTTCCATTTTTTGAAGCCCTGACTAAAAGTCAAAAAGCAGCCTGGATCGCGATCGCAAGAGATGACTATGCTCAGTCCTTGCAGATCGGGCACTGCAGCCTCCCAGAGAAAACGGCAGTGGAAATTGACACAAGTTCGGGAAAACGGTAGGCTGCCGGTATGGTATGGAACACTATCGTGTGCTCTGAGTCGGGTCTTCCATGATGGCTTTGAGAACACCTATCGACGCCAAGCTCACGGATGCCCCGTAGCCTGAGAGGCGGCCCAGTGCCGTAGCCGATCCGACAAGCGCTGCATGAAAGGAGTCCTCGGCTTGGCTGCGAAGCTCTGCCCGAGACCATTGTCACACGTCTTGCAGCGGCACCCAGGTGTGATGGCGTTCCGATCCTGAGACCGCTGGCCGAAGACAAGCATGCACGACCAGTTCTTCTCGAGTGGACTTTCACGACGGAAGTGCTGAGGCAGTCGCGAAGACATCGATGACTGCATCGATACCATCCGAATCCGTCTCTTGGGCTTTCCGAAAACGCCTCAGTGCACGGAGGACATGCGGAGTGCCTGTGGCTAGTATATTTTACGGGGTCTGAGGGCCTGAAAGCCCGGTCAAAGCAACATGACAAAGGATTCAACGGACAGTAGCCATACCGGAACAGGTGGCCGGGATCTCTGCTGGTTCATCTTCGCCCTTGGGGCCACCCCATCCAGTGCGACATAGAGCAGAACCTGTCAGAATATCTTCCGTCCCCTGAACATCCCTGACGTGCCCTGCCCAGCCGTTGCAAGCCTTGGGAGTCACCAGGGATAACAGCACGGCGAGTTGCGCCTCCAGCGGCAGGGAGATACTTGCAACGGCAATCGGCGCTGGTGCTGCAAGCCTCAATGAGCTGGAAGAGGTAGTCCTCCTGCTCCTGAAGCGTCCAGTCATTCACACAGGTGTGGACGACACCGTTGAAGTCCAAGTACCTCAAGGGCGTAACTGCAACGCAAACACTGATCCACGAAGGTTCGATTGATAGCCTGCCCTCACACCTCACTGCAACCGGGTGGCAGGCTGTCAAACCTAGGCTGCGTAACATCCCGCACGGATCTTGCACACCATATTGCCTACAAGTGAGTGTTAGTCGCCTTACCGTGCAGATGTAGAATGCACACCGTGACCGTGACGTTTCACCAGCTTTGCATGCAAAGCCACGACACAGGATCCAATTAACTGCTGAGCACCATCTGACACTTTGGCAAGTTTTGAAGTCCAGGGCGCTCGTAGGGGGGCCCGGTGCTCTTTGCTCGCAGATGAGGCACTCTGCGCACTGCCCACCGATAGAAGCCAGGTACGCCCATGGCTTGTGCAGAAGAAGGGGGGAGTGGATGCGTGCTCTTTCGCGGAGGAGCTTCAGACACGAAATGACCTCCAAATCCAAGCATGTCTACAGAGAGGCTGAGGAGGCCTCTGTGCAAAGCAAACACGCTTTACCTTCTTCATATGCAGTTTGAATGATACAAGAACCCCTTGTCTGCTAAGCAAAACGCCTGCAGTCCAAGCTGAACTTCATACACTTGGGCAAGCAGCATTGCGAGCTGCGTGCTGAAGGTGGTGCTTCATCTAGAACTTAAACACTTAACCTCTGCTGTGGTACTGGTGCTGCCAAGAGTGCTAAAGGAAGCCCGAGACCATCTCAGAGCAAACTGAGGACGACATTGCCGTTATTGCCGGGTCGCTTCTGCTGCAGATTGTGAGGAGTCGAAGGGAAGCGGCCCCCAATTTACCTATTGACAGCGCAGAGCGGTATGACGAACGGTCATCTCGAGACTGGCATTGAGGACGGTCGGCGCACGCCTTCGACTTGGACGAACTGTCAATCCTCAATGCCTCTATCGTAGTTGACTGAGGCTCGAAACCTCCTCAAGCTCGGGATGGTGAAACGAATAGCATTGGCCTTCACATGCCAGTGACACATGAGCCTTCCGTAGCTGCAGATCACCAAATGCATTGTTGCCCACATAGGCTTTGTCGCCCTAACATTATTCGTACGCCTGAATCAGCACGCATAGATGGGATAGTCAAAAATCTCATGGCATGTCTGGTATGCGCTTTGGCCCTTCACACAGCCGCTTGGCCAGGGACTTGTAGTCGAAAAGGCCTGGAAGCCAGGGTGCTGGCAGCGCAGAACGCTTGTAACATGACTAACCCAGCACTCAGGCGCGTTCAGTGTTTCGATGCTCACAGTGACCAAAAGCGCGTGTGCAAAGTGCTGGAACCGCATACATCCAAACGGTTTTGCTTTGGCTCCTCCATTGCGACATGCTCTTGACATCTCCTCCTATCCAAGCTTTGTCTTCGCCTGCTTGCTATACGTCTGGACAAGTGCTGTATATAAAACGTGGCACGAGGGAATTGAAATCCAGCACCCTAGTGCGAGCAGCACAGGGCAGCAGAAGATTTCACGGTCTCTGGCCGGAGATCATACCAGGCCTTTATCATCCACCTCCGCCTCCCTCAAGATAGCATCAACCTGGAGGCATGCAAAACTCATCATCGACTGCAGGAAGCTACCGTCGCAGAACAGATAACTCCGCCCGTTGATGCACTGTACTAACACGAAGCAAGCGTCCTGCAAAAGAGCCCAAGCTGTCTTACAAAAGAATAGAATCTCGTGGCTGAACGATATCTCTGCGTTGCGAAAAGGCTGTCCTTTGCGAAGACTGCTAATCCTTCAGCACAACCACTGACCCAGACAGAAGCGTGGGGCCCTCCATGCCCAGAAGCGGCCCGGTAGGCACGTGGGCACCCCAAAAGACCGTGAAAGCCCTCGCACCGCGAAACCCTGAGATCCTGAGATCCTCCTGGGATCCTCCAAGAAGTCACAGGGTCAGATCAATGATCAAGGGGAGGGTTTTTGAGTCAGCTGCGAGGCACTACAGTCACTGCACGCAGCGTGCCTCATGCTCCTGCATGGGATCTCCGAGGGATGTCAGCATCTCCTCCCATTTCCAGACATGCTCAGGATACCAACTGGGCCCAGACCACAAAGTCTCATGCAAGCTGGCTGGCTCAACACGTAGACTTATATTAACCAGGGCTTTGTTTTTCGAACCAAACTGGAATGTCTCGCTCTCGTTTCCAGCCAGCCTTGAACTTCTCGCGGCTCATGATGCCAGTGTCCTCCAGGTCGAAAACCTTCCAGGATGATTCCGGAGAAAACGAAGCCTAACTCCGTGAACGTGCCAAGTCTTTCCGAACATCTCTCTGATGACGCGGCTGTCTCGGCGGTCCGAGGTTCCCTCTCCGTAAACTTCTTTCGCTTTCTCTTAATCCCCTCTCCAGTGACGCACAACCCCCTCCCTACGTTCGTTGTCTTGTGTACTCCGAACCTGCGACAATCGTTAGCCGCTCCCCAAGCAACCACCTTTAGCTTACAGCAGCAGACGGTCTTTTAAGACAAGTGGTCGTAAGGTCGCGCCGCTTGCTAGGGCCAGTAAGATTTGATACCGGCCGAACTCAAGTGGGCATATGATACCCGGGAGTGGGCGGGTGGGGAAAATCGGGTATCACCCTTGAGACCAAAATGGCCACGGGGATACGACATCCCACCATCCACGCTCACGATTGTCACTGCAACATGACGCAGGCTGTGTTTCTCACGACAATCGTTAGCCGCTCCCCAAGCAACCACCTTTAGCTTACAGCAGCAGACGGTCTTTTAAGACAAGTGGTCGTAAGGTCGCGCCGCTTGCTAGGGCCGGTAAGATTTGATACCGGCCGAACTCAAGTGGGCATATGATACCCGCATGACCATGACCACTGAAACGCAAAGATCCTCCGACCTGCTGTTGCGCGGTTGCTTGTGGTACCTATGAGCTGCTGCTCGATTCGGAGCTAGAGCTCGAGGAGCTGGAAGAGGAAGAGCCGGAGGCGGACTCTGATGCTATCTTCCTAACGTTGGGGAAGCAATGTTTGCATTTCTTCCCTTTATGCCTCGCCGACACCCACGAAAACGTGTTGGTCGATGCGAAAGGCCATAAACAACATGTGCGCCACAACCTGGGGTTGAGGCAAACTTCCGGCGAGCTGAAATCGCTTAAGCACCGATGAAGCTTACCCCCTCTGGCTGTGTTCTGCACAAGGTGTTTTGTCCCTCCCCTGATTGGCAGGTGCGCTATCGGGGGCGGACGGGCCAGCCCGCCCTCTTCTTGCCACTCTGGATCTGGAATGGCAAGTATCGGTTGGGCTTTTGCAAGAAGGGACTCCAGTTCGGATCGGATGCGAACCAGCGCAGCGCCATGACCAGACTCAATCGCAAGCTCGCCAAGGTGAGCTAGCGGCGCATCACGAATGTAACCCAAAATGGTGTCCCCGCCCCAACGTCCAACTATTTGTATGCGCCAAATCTCTATGCCTCGTTCAGCCAAGAACTGGGCCCCGGTAGCTCTGGCAGTATGTCCAGTAAACGCTCGTGCCCCGTTATGGTGGCAGAGCGGGAGGCCCAGTTGGGCAGCGATTTTCTGAAAGGTGTCTGCCCAGCCGCTCTTTGACGTCGGGCCGCCCTCCTTGTCCACAAAGACGGGGTCTTGTGGACGTTTGCCTTCCAGCAGTGAAACCATGCAGTGAAAAGGGCAGAGCTCCGGGTGTAGGACAGCGCACGAGCACGAGTGCTTCCGAATGGCACCAAGGGCTGCAACATCGGTTTTAGACGAAGGGAGCAGCCACGAAATTGTCTTGGTGCCCCAGTCCACGGTGACGTGTTTCACTCGCGCTCTGGAAGCCTCTATTTCTCTAAGGATCCACCAGGAAGCGACGACTGTCGAAGTGACAGGCCTTGCTGGGCCGCCAGGGGCCTCGCAAGAGGCTTGGTCAACGCCTACCAGTTTTCCCAAAGGAAGGGCCGCTGCCTGCTTGGCCGGCCCGAGGCCTCTTTTGCAAGAGCGAGAACAAACTCGGTAGGCAAGAGCCAACTGCTCGGTCCAAGGGTGTCCTCTCTGGATATGTTCCTGCTTCGCAAGATCCAGATATTGCATTGCCGATCTGTAGCCCGCCTCTTTCAGTCCCCCCATGATGGTGTACATGCCATCGGGGGTAAGATGAAATGGCTCGAGGTTGGCTTTCACCGACCAGGCCCCCCATTGCTTAAGCCTAGACTCCACGGGTCCCATGGCAGTCGTGGCCCTCGAGTCGGCAAGCAGGGCGGCTCGGCAACGAGCGGGGTCACTTAAAGCATTCATGGCCTGGGCCGCCGACCCACGGCGATACTCCCGCGGCTCGCCATGCCTATCCCTGGCTGCAACATCTGGCCGTGCACCGCCCACATCTTGTTCTTGGGCGGCCGCTCCCGCGAGTGGACGCCCAAGGGCAGGTCCCTCGCGAAGGATCTCGGCCTTACCCTGAACCGTGCGAGGCTCGGTGGGGTTACTTAGTGGCCAGAAGGCAGCCCGGTACGACCTCTCAGGCTTGGGCATCTGCAGCGCTCACGAAAACCTGGGCAAGCTGCACACCAACCGAAGAGAGAGAAGGAGAGAGAGAGAGAGAGAGAGAGAGAGAGAGAGAGAGAAGGAGGGAGGGAGAGGAGCGGCAGCAGCACTCAACCCCCGCAACCCTCAAACGAGCAACCCTCTTTTCTCACACCTTCCAGAAGTCGTCGCCGAAGTTGACCTCGTCACGAGGCACTTCCAGAAGCTCCCTCGGGAAGCCTTTCGCTTCGGGAGCGAATTGATGCGACAGCGCGTCTGCCTGCACATCTGCACATTTGTGACGCCGGGGATGTGCACCAGCCCCTTGACCTGGTAGGCTCTGGTGGCCTCGTCGTAGGCGAACTCCCTGGCGAGGACGTTGAGCTCAGGGGACCTCGCCCGTCCCTTAGCCAAAGCGTAGAGAACGCCCAGGTTGTCCGACTTCGCCCGGAAGGTGGCGCCGTGTGCCAAAGACGGCAACCAAAGCCTGAAGGCGGTGAGGAGAGCCAGCCCCTCCCACAGCGTGTTGTACTTGGGCAGTCCACGCTCGGCCTTGAAGCGGTGGAGGACGCTGTCCGGGATGTGCGTGAAGAAGTAGGCTGTGGGCCTGCCGCCCTCCCGGCACACAGCACCCATGCCCCAGGGTGACGCGTCCGTCACTATCTCCAAAGAGCTCGTCGGAGGGCTTGCGTAGAAAACTCGCTCAATGGTTTTGCCACTGCTGAGCAGAGCCCTCACCCACCGCAGCGCCGGGCCGATCCGGCGGACATGAATCAACTTTCGGGCCAATTTCAGAGGTCGACCCTCATTCGTTGACCCATGCCTCGTCAGGGCGGCCCAGAACGAAGCGAGGAAGGGCCGCAGGTGTGGCACTAGCCCAGCCACAAACGACAACGAGCCGGTGTAGGACCGAAGCTCGCGGCACCCCACCACCGGCTTGGCAAGGAACTTGTTGGTGTCGCGGAGGAGCGCCTCGATCTTCGCCGCGGGGAGGGTGACCTTGTTCGGAGTCGACGCACCGGAGACGCGCTCCGACCCATTCAACGTCTTTGCCGCCGCTGGCCTTTGCCAGCTTGACTGGGTAACCGGCCACCGCGGTCCACAGGAGGACCACAGTAAGGTCGCCAGCGGCTGTCTCCAGCTCGGGGCCGTCCAGAACGTACATGGGGTCGTCGACGTAGATTTGCACATCTGAAGTGCTTGTGGCCGTGGTGGTGCGGCCTAGCCAGGCGGCTGCCCGGCCCCACACTGTTGGCGAAGAAGCCGACCCGAAGACGAGGGTGTTGAAGAGAACGATCTGCGGAAGCTTTCCCCTGTTCCGCTTCTTCGGGATGGCCGCGGCTGTAAAGCGCCGGTCCCGGCCGGCCGGGATGTTCATAAAGGCGTCGCGTATATCGACGCACGCCATGAACGGGGCACGTCCCCTGCGGTAGGCTGCCAGGAGGGAGGCCACGACATCCAACAGCCGAGGCAGCAGGATCCTCTCTCCTTGGTGGCATGCTCTGTTCACTGAGGACTCGCGGAGGTCCCAGATCACTCTGGCCTTCTTGACCTTTCGCCCACGGGCGTCCACTTTCTCCTTGACGAGGACGCCCAGCTTGTTAAGGACCGGCTTCCCTCCAAGGATGCGGGTGGCCTCTTCCTCAGAGCGGACGACTTGGCAAAAGCCCCTGGCCTCGTAGTCCTCGATGAGCTCCGTCAGGATCCCGGCCTCCTCCTCTGCGCTCTTGTAGTTGGTCCACCCTTCCAGGGCACGCCGGTCGAGCTCCTCAGGCTGTGTTACCCCGATGGGCTCGACCTTCGGAAAGACTCCCGTGCAAGGGATGCTCTCAGATATTCCCAGCGGAGCTCCGTGGTCTAACCAGCCGGCAAGGGTGGCCGAATCTGGGTCATCGGTTGCCTCGCCCCAGGCTTCACTGACCTCGGCCCGAAGTGGCGTCTTGGCCGGGGCTGTCCTGACTCTCACCTTGGCCTTGTCGGCGCCCAGTGCGGTCAAGACGGCGGAGCGGATGCTCGCGATGACCTTGGGGTCGAACTCGCCCGGCTCCTCGCCTTTGAGTATGGCCGTGGCGGGCTCGCGAAGTGCCGGCCATTTGCGCAAGCAGTCGCGGAGAAGCTTGTGAATAGCCCGGCCCGCTTTCCTCGAAGACGGCAGTCGACCAAGCGAGCGGCGAGGGTTGCGCATTCCCCCGAGGGCCCGGGCATTCTCCTCCTCCCGCACGGTGCGCGGAGTCTTGGCACGCAGTGCCTCGAACTCCGCGGTTGGGTCAGGGCTTCAAAGGGGCTCGGCTTCCAGAGCCCGTTGCCGATAGCCCTGGAAAAGTGCGCGATGACCTGGGAGAAGTGGGGCGTGTACTCGCCTTGGCTCTTGGAGGCCCATTGGCTGCCTTCCGGTCCTTGCTCCCTCTGCCCGGCGGTGCTGCCATGAGCTCCTCGGCCGTGGTTGCAACGGAGGTCGTTGAGCTCGCCAAATCCAGTGGCGTGGGCGCTGTACATGACCTTGATCGGCTTCACGGTTCCGAGCCCCAAGCGGCACTGATCGAACTTGGCCGTGGCTATGCGATCCAGCTGGGCAAGCTGGCGCATGAGAGGCATTTGCCAAAGCTCGGGCCTGTTCTCGCCGTGAATCGGATTCTCGATGGCCCAGGTAAGGTGGCGATGCCAGGCCGACGAAAGAACGTCGAAGGTGCGCTCGACGAGGACGTTGGCCGCCTTGACCTCCTCCTTTTCTCTCGGGCTCAACCCGGTTCTTCCCTCGATCTCGTCGGCGGTTCTGAGTGGGCGAGGTCCGGGCCGAACTTCTCGGAGGGGGCTGAATGTGCCGCAAGGTGTCCCGGCCCACACGACTGCAAAGTTGCCGTCGACGACGTCCTTCTCCACCGGGTTCCACTGGGCCTCGTCCAACACATCACAAGGTGTGTCTGCAACCTTATCAATGCAGCACACGCAGAAGCCGTAGTGGACCAGCCAGCTCGCGAAATCTCCCGGCCTCCTTCTCCCGCTGAACATGACCAGGGCCCAGGGCCGTACCTTGAGTGTGGCGGCCGGCCTCTCGAACCACGACCCATAAGGCCGAGGGCCTTGGCTCAGCGCCTCGTAGCTCGGCCAGGTCGATGCCGCCGGCGGCACTCCGACCAAACTCTTGGTGGTGGTATTCTTGCGGGCCGTCTTCTTCTTCGGCGGGTTGGCTGGCTCCGGCACGGCTGTTGGTGGGCTGGCTGGCTCGGGGACCACCGGCCGCTTCCGCTTTAGAGCCGGCCTCGGTCGTGGCGGCGTTGGTGGCTTGTACGCTGGCCAGTGCCGTCGTCCTGGTCTGCGGTGCCACCCTCGGCCGGTGGAGCGCCCGCTGCCTTGGACTGGGCCGTGCTGTCAACCAAGGCTTGGTGAACGTCGGGCGGTGATGCCTTAACTTTGGGCGTCGGTGCGAAATCCCAGGTGGACTCGGGTCTGCCGATCCCCCCCCGGCCGGAGCCGAAGAGGAGGCGGCATCAGCTGGCAATGTTGGGGGTCAGGCCTTGGTGCACTCCGTGGCGGGGTGCGGGCCCAGGCAGCGGTTGCATTGGTGACTGTGCTTCTGAGGGCATTTCCCCTGCGGTCTCCGCGTGCCACATTTCCCCCGATTGTATCCATCGCAGATGCGGGTGCCACGCCTGTTGATGGTATACACGCCATCTTTCGAGACACTGTGGTCTTCGCCTTCGTATCGCCGCTGGGCCTTCTGCTTCTTCTTCGGCGTGGCACCTTCGTCGCCCGCTCCCCCGGCCGGCCGACGAGCGCCATCTGGACCCCCGCTGCTGCTTGCACGGTGCTGGGACAGCCAGCGGGTAGCCGGTGTCACCAGCTCTCGGGTCCAATAGTCACTGTCCTTGATGGCGGCGGCGAAGGCGGCGTTCCACGGGCGAGCCTGGGTGTACCCGTACTCGGGCTTGTCGGCCAGTGTCCTCCTGAGGCGTTCGAGGTGCTCGCAGCGGAGGCGGTTCTCGGCCCTATATATGAGCCACCAGCAGTTGTCGGAGAACTGGGTGACGAAGGACCGCACGTGCTCCGAGTAGGCGTCCAGTCTCTCAGCATCGGCCACCTCGAGCAGCAGCAAGGCGGTCCGAAAGACCTTCCAGGGCTCCACCCAGGCGTGGTACGAGCCGGGGCCGGGCTGCTCCTTCTTCGACCATTCCCCCGTAGCCACATTGAGGGTGTAGGAGGTAAAGGTCTGCTTCCTCAGCAAGCGCAACCCGTGCGGACCAAACAGCGAGAAGTCGGCATAGGGCGCCGACCCCGCCGTGATCACCTGCTTGAGGGAAGCGAGCTGATCCGAGGAAGGGTCAGAATCCGGGCTGGGGAAGTCGCCGTACTTGGCCCGGTAGTCCGTGTACAGCTTCTGCAGCTCTGTGGTGCCCAGCGGCGTGACGTCGGCATCCAAGGTCGGGTCCAGCACCGACGAAAGCTTGAGCCTCCGAGCGCCCGGGACCGGGTTGCCGGAGCTCGGTCCTGGTCCCGCCGCGGGGGAAGTTGTGGGTGGCCCCGCGCCACCGGGCACATCAGGTGCGACCCCCATCCGAAGAAGGGCCACTCGCCTTGTAGACTCCAGCCGGGCCTTCTCGACCAAGGTGGGGTCGCGAAGAGGTCCCGGTGATCCATCCGGTGCGTCCGGGCCCTGTACCTTCAAGCCCTGCACCATTTCATCCCAAGCTGTTCGTGGGACGAGGGCCAGCTCTCGTACGCGAGCTGGGTCGCCCAGTGCCGCCCGTAGGGCCTTCTCTAGGGCTCCGCTGACCCCGGCCCATGTGAAGACGCCGGCGAGGTCCGTGATCGCCTGGAGCTCCGTCTCGGTCGGGTAGGCAAGGCTGAGCCGTCGACGGCTCCGGACGAAGTTCAGTGCCCTCCTTGATATGACCTCCCACCGGCCCAGCGGAGTGCAGTGGTGCGTCGGCGGGGCCCGGCCTACCACGGGTGCCGCCCTCGGTCGAGAGCAGCAGCAACCGCAGCAGAAGCCGAGTGCCCAGACGCAAAGGCACAGACTAAGGAGCAGCCACTCGAACCCGGTGCCCTCCGAGAGTATCACCAGCGGACCGCCAAGGGCGAAGTCCCACCGATGTCCTCCCGGAACGACCGCCAGGTCCATGCAGCTCTCCCACCTGTTCCTGGATGACCCCTGGAAAATCGGGTATCACCCTTGAGACCAAAATGGCCACGGGGATACGACATCCCACCATCCACGCTTACGATTGTCACTGCAACATGACGCAGGCTGTGTTTCTCACTACAAGTACCTGAGCCCCGATGTGGAGACTACTCTTCACCTCTGACCGGGCCGAGGCGGACGACCCGAAGCGTTCACCAGAAAGTTTAGAGTTCAGACTGCATGCTGCTTCTTGTAGCGCACCTGGAATGCCTTCAGAAGTGTGTCTTCGGTCGTTGGCGTCCTCACAAACACTGATGAACACTGGCGCTTCTCACAAGCTACCTTGATCGTCAAGGCATCCCAAAGCCTGTAGTTGCCTTTGAAGAACCGGATGAAGCCATCGACCTTACAAAGAGGCCAAGTCGCCGGATCAGACAAGGGTCTTACTTAGGTCGGGCAAACCCTTCTCGAAATGCACGATGACTCGGAAAGTATTGTCCAGGAGACAAGGTCATCCAAGTTTCATACAGAGCATTTTTGCCTATCACGTCCGAGGTGCATCCAAACCCACCTGTGGAACTGGTCTGAGCATCTCCGCCAGCTCCTCCCAAAGGCAAGGACTGAGAAGGCTTGGTGCCGGGTTTCGCGAAGAGACACAAGTCGACAAAGCATCGACAAAGCGACCTTGGATCTGTTAGGCAAAGAGAAAACTGATTCCGTCCTCGTCTGTGGGGTTTTGCCCGAAAGCTCGGAAAAGGATTCCCACCTGTGAGACTGGCACTGGCCTCTATCAAAGCGAGATTCGACAAGCAAATTCCTTGATCACGCCTGCTGCGGATTGAGCCGTCCTCACATGGCACGGTACGCAGCTGCGACTAAGGCATACAATGGACTGATCACGTGGCCTGTCTTGCTTTGATCGAGCAATTTAAAGTTGTCGACGACTTTTTCATACTGATCCTGACATGCAAACCACTTCCATAGCTGCAACACAGTTTGGAAGTGCGCGCTTCTGCCTGTGAGAGTTCAGCCTCTGGGTCGTCCAGCTTGATTTCAAAGCCGGCGCCTGCCGGTAGCGGAGGGGGCCACACTACGGATTGACGCGCTTCTCAGATCTTCTGGGTTGACTCGTTGCAGCTCTCACCAATTCTCACCATCTCTCCCTCGATCCACTCTGGCTCACCAGCCATCGCGAAGCCGCGGCGAGTTTCACCTTCGCGGCAACTGCTGGCGGATTTGCAGGAAATGCATTCCAAGGCTCTGCCATGCAGGGAAGCTTATGGGGTACGTCGGGGCTGTGCCTGCGGACCATCTGGACACAAACAAATGCGAATTCTGTTCGGAGATACACCGAGCCAAAGCGTGGGACGAGCATGTCAAGCTTGTGCAGGCACGGTTCTGGATCTCGTTCAGATGCTTTCTGAGGCAACAATAGGCACAACTTATTGACAGCGAACAGTCCTGTGCCTTCTGCAGTACAACCAGAACAGTCCAGAACCGCCCGCAAACATTTGCAATGGCATGCAAATCTCGGAGGGCAACAGAGCGACTGTGTCTTCGTCGATGGTTTTTGTCTTGAGCACGCAATGACCGTCGTTCTAAAACGGATGAAACAGCTACATTCCAAGACCGTCAAGGGCTTCAGCCAAGTTCTGTGTACGGGTTGCGGGATGGATGGTCTTTCACACGTCAGGAGCTTCTGGTGCAATCATGCTGAAGCCACTTGCGGCTCAGAGAAGCATACAACGTGAACATCTTCCAAGCGGCTATGCCTGCAGAACTTTCAGAACGAAGCAGATGGGCACACTCAAGCACTTCAACTTCACTGGCTACCCGTGGCCCCTTGTGTGGCTCTGTGAAAAAGCTGGAACACGACTGGTGGGACCGTCGATTTTCCAGGCCTCGCCAACGACAATGCCATCGTCCACCAGCTCCTGGCACCAAAACTGAGCGTGACCTGTTTGCATAAATCTCGGAACTCGTGGCGGTCCTGGATGTAGGGCGGCAGCTGTGGAGCTGCGCGAGAGTCCTCCGTTGAGCAGGCAGTTAGCACATACACGTGGAAGAGGCAACTGACGTTCTGTGCTGAATACGCACTTTTGCCTTGTGAATCCATGCACGTCTTTGGTGTAGCATCCATGCAAGCTAAGGCAAGCTGCACGAGCCTGGAACCACGGATGTTCTAACGCCGCAGAGGCGGTAGGTCTCTGGTTTTCTTGGTACCTGAGCTGGTTGCAGCGAAACGTTTCAGTGCGGACGGCAAAGCGGCTCATTCATCAGGTCTTCAAGCTATGCCAAGCAAAAGCCCACAGGAAACACGTCAGGAAGTAGACCTGTGAGGCTCTTGCGCAAGCATGCGCATGACCTCGTCAGCTGGACAGAGCTGACACGCAGCTGATGGAACTCAACTGACTCTAACCATCTTATCACAATTCATGCATGAGGCGCTTGGGAGCACTCTAACTTACCGATGGTGCTGAGATCCGAAATATTGTTTCCGGTTCCACTTCGAGATTCTGAGTCTACAGCCCACAAGGCCAAACCGCAATGTTGTCAGCATTCTCGTGAAACGCCGAACATCTCGACACGCTGAGGGTGCTGCGAGGTCACCAGCTTCGCTGTTTTCTTGGAAAACCTCTTTGGAGAAGTCCACCTTTGCAACTTAGGATCTGAGTGCTAGGCAGTCCAGGCGCAAACTTTGCCTAGGCACAAGCTGCGAATACACATCGGGCCTTGGCCACTTTCAGCCTTCGCCGAATTTGGGCCATCTTTGGGCTGCCGACCCAGTTCTCGCCAGCCTGCATCTCCGCAGTCGAAGAACGCTTCACAGAGCGAGTCATGGCGGAAGGTGTGACAGTCGACTCTTCGATTGCAGGTTTTGTGTCTGTAGTGGCCTCATCATCGAACATATCGTCGTGAAACGGAAACTTTCCTGTCAGAAGGCCGAGGTCCAAACCAGTTCAAGAAGCAGCATGAGAGGGAATACAGGGAAAGACAGATACGCTGCAGACGTGATGCAGACATGTCATGAGTGCCGGGTGAGGACGTGCCAGAGGAGTTGCTGATTCTGCGGTCGCTGTGCTGCTCGCCCCCTTGACTCCGCCAGTCCTGTCAGCAGTCTGTACAGAATCACCCCGCAGGCAAAGATGTCCGAGAGGGGGGAGTACCTGGTAGCAGCATCGCTGACGAGAAAACTGTTTTTTCCTTCCCGGGTAGAGGTTCAACTACTCTCCGTTGGTGTGCATCTGCATGCGCAGGTGAATTTCGCATGATGGGCATGCAATAAGACCGGGCGCACTTGCCGGCATAGGCTTCCTCGGCACATTCAGTGGCAAAGCAAACGCTCTGTCCGGCCCATGCAGGTGTGCGTGAGAGAATGCTTGGTCAAGCGCCTGGGATATGTATTGGTCGGTTCCAACCACATCCTCCCACAAATACACAATTCTGTCAGTGTAATGGAACCCAGACAGCCTAAAGTCTAAAAGATCTCTTGCGCCCTGGTGCCTTGGCTGAGGCATTTGAGGGACACCATGATTCCAAGGTATCGAAGTCGATCACCTCGAGCGCTCTGTGCCGACTTGACAGACGAAAAGTCTAGAACGAGGGGCTTGTTGATGTTGTGTCGTGTAAGCTGAAACTGATAAGGGGCCTATCTTGCACATGGTGAAATTTGTGAACATGTGCTATGGCAACTGCTTGAACTAAGTGAGCTGGAAGTATCGAGCACTGTCACCCAAAGAAGTGGCCTTCACCGCTTGTGAGGGTAAGCTTGACCTCGGCAAGGCCAAATCAAACCATGCAGAGTAAGCTGAGACGGAGACCGCAGCGTTCTTGGCTTCGGCATGCCGAGTGGCAAGCTTCACCCGCCCAACACCCGGGGTCCAAACTTCGAAGGTTTGCCTTCGCCGCCAGCATCGAGCATCACGTTCTCCAACTTTAAATCCTGCATCTCACTCTTGGCAACCGCTGACTAGAAACCAGCCCAGTACGTGAGCACCGGCACAAGAGCTGCCCTGCAGCTTGCTTCAGGATTGCATCAACACCCGCCTTATGCACAGCACCGTGCGAATGCAAAAACACCAGCGACCTGGCAAGGAACGGCTGGTTCTGGGTCGTACGCAGCGGAGGTTTCCAGATGTAGACGACAACACATGCAAAGTTGGACTCCAACAGCTGACGCATGATCTCCCGGGTAGTGGTCACCTGTGCGCATGCAGCAAAGCACGGAAAAGCTGGCAGAACATCAAATGAGTTCTTTACCAGCTGTGAAGTCAGTGCATCTCTGTCTTAAGACGCCATACTACTGACCAGGGCGGCTTGTGCGGAGGAACAGCGCTAACCCAGTTTGTTACAAACCACAATCTTGCCGGGAAAGTAGATTCGAGGGCATCAATACAAAATATCTTCGGACCAAAGCACGGGAATCTTCCGCATCTGCTCGAGAGTCTCGAAAAGATCAAGACCACCAACCTGGAAACCAAGTGGCAGCTTGCAACATCTACTGCGACTTCTTGCGGAGATCAGCTCTGCGCTTGCCGTCGACAGCACGTTACACAAGCTTGATCGTTTTTCACATCACTCGCACTCCATGCAGAGATATGCACAAGTATCGACAAGTAAATATTAAAGGCGAGCTGTGCTTTTCCAGTCACGTATTGCGACCTCGAATGAAAAGCGACAGCGCTGCGTCCTCTCAGAAGCCCATGGCATGCCAGATGGGAGCCAGGGAGACTTTGCGAAGGCCAGGGCCACAAAAGGGCCCCCAGGCCAAATTTTTACCTTCGACAGGGGCCCTCCGGTGCACACTTCACTTTTCTCCACAATAAAGCGCTCTGAAAGTCCTACCAAACTGAGCTGTTGCTATTTCTCCGTCAAGCCGAGCCGCTCATGTTTCGCGAAGCTTGCCCGGCAGAGTGGGCAAGTGGCCTCGCTGCTAACTGGCTACCAGGTCCTAGACAACAGAAAATTATGCACAATTGCCCGCGCAAACACCCAGCACTTGCAAACCAGGTTCCGACATCGCGTGTCCTGACATTGACCACTTCACGATGCAGTCCTGACCAAATGTGTTGTTCGACAATTTATCTTGCCCGTTGCCGATAAGGTACTTGGGCATTTGATGTCGACATCAAAAGGTGCTGGGACGTAGTTCGAATGACAGATCGCCGCTATCCAGCAGTCGTCACATGCACCCGACGATGTCGTCTTGAAGGGTGAGGAGAAGAAGTGTTTTCATGTTCCCCAAAAACCAACTCCATACCCAGACCGCAAATCGAGTCAACCCGTCTTCTAAACTGTTCCCCCTGCCTCGCCTGGCACCCCCACAGTTGGAGCACAGTGGGCCCGATGTTCGGATAGAGAAAGAAAAGAGGGCGAGAGAGAGAGAGACATATACATATATATATATATATATATATATATATATGTGTGTGTGTGTGTGTGTATAGAGAGAGAGCGAGAGAGAGCGAGCAGAATCCTGTAGCCTTTCATCGTTCTTCAATAAGCAATCTTGGTAGCGAGCATTTGCAGGGATTTTTCATCTATATGCTTCCAAACCAAGCAAAACTGCCGCCGTTAATCGACGTCCACCTCTACAGCGACAATATTCAATGAACGTTTCTCACACAAGACTCAGACATGCATTCCGATGTGCGACATGCATGCGCATGCTGGCGCGACGGCTACTCACTTCTGCTCAGTCGTCGGCTAACCCTTAATGTGCAAGAGAGCCCGCAGTTTTCTGTCTTCCTCTAGAATTCCAGAGCTCCACTGCGAAAGGACTGACCTCCGACCGCACTTCTTGACCCTCGGCATGTGCAATGGCAACAGTTTCAGGCAGCTCCTCACAGAAGGCATGGCCGCAAGGCAGAACCGCCACAATGCAGCCCTCCTGCGATCACAACAACTTCAACAACTGTGGTGGCATGATTTCTCTGCAGACTTCAGATTTGTCCTGGAATTGCTCGTGGCAGCACCAGCAATGAACAGAAGATGTGCAGAGCCGCTCTGGAAGCGTCACAAGCCCCAGTGAACCTGATCGTGTCTGAGCTTGCAATGTAGCTCGCGGCTGCATCTGGTCATCACTTCCAGCCTGAGTGCTTTCTCGGTGTCGCCCGCGCCTTGGAGCCACGGTCATCCCGACAGATTGATATCCTTGGCAAAGCACCAGCACGTTTAGCATCTTCGAACTCCAGTACTTACGGAGCAGTTTGACAGGTCTTGATGTCGACCTTTCTTTACTGCACCTGTCTTTGTTTCATCGCCTCACCAAGCGTTGTCATCACCGGCATGCCCTGGACCCAAGTCTTGAGACATGAGAGTAGGCAAAACGAGTCCAGTATATAATGCAAGAAATGCCGCCAAGCTTCATCTGCAGCACTGAAGGCTCAGGTTGGCCCTCAGCGCACCCAAAGATTTCTTCAATCGTTGAAGGGTCACTGCAATGTGAGAACCAAAATCAAAATCAGAAGCAGCAGTGCCACGAGATGACCAGAAGGTACGCGCCACATGACCAGCAACTCAACTTGCAGTGACATGCGTAATTGACCAGCGTGTGCTGTGCGGACCAGTGGCTGCAAAGCCATAGGCAGCTCTTGCCCAAATTCTCTCCTGCTGACCTTCGGTGACATCCTGAGCCGGCAAATAGGAGCGCAAGGCAGTCAAGCACGACATGCCAGGCCTGCACAATGCTAGGCGGGAGCTTTGCCGTGAGCCGGTCCAGGGCAGCTGCAATCCTTCCAGGACAACTTGTCCAAGTCTTCAGCAAACTCCAATAATCCGCCGAGGCTACAGGCCCCCGGCGTCTTGATGGTTCAACTTCCCTGCAGCCCAAAAGCTTGATGACATGTGCTTTTCGGCCACAGTTTCGACCCCCCACCCCGGCTGGCCCCTCCTCTCACAAAATTTTGGTCCATTTCAGACTCTCTTCCCTATCTCTCTTCCTTTCGCCTCACAGGCCCCCGGCCCCTCTACCTCATCCTCCTCCCTGCAGCCCAAAAGTTTGGTGACATGCGCTTTTTGGCCACAGTTTCCACCCCCACCCCGACTGGCCCCTCCTCT